GTTCAGTGTATATATATATATATATATATATATATACATACATTTTTTTTTCTTCAAAAAATTATTGTATATTGCTATTTCATACTACTTATTCTATTTTTATTATCTGTCTTGTCGCTGTCATTCTGTTTGTGCTGTGGAAGTTTCTGTCACCAAAACAAATTCCTCGTATGTGTAAACCTGGCAATAAAACTAATAATATCAGAATTGTTTATCAGTGTAGTAGCCTATATGTAGTGTTCAGGTGAAACAGGTAACTTGCCAGAAATGATAAGGTTTTTGACATGGTGTCTATGTATGCTGTGTAGCTCCGCAGAAAGAGGGGGAGTGCGCTGAAATCGGTAGTCTAATGCACTGGTTCCCAACCCTGGTCCTGGAGGCACCCCAACACTGCACATTTTGCATGTCTCCTTAATCAAACACACCTGATTCAGGTCATCAGTTCATTAGTAGAGACTCCAACACCTGAAATTGGTGTGTCAGAGAAAGGAGAAATGCAACGTGCAGTGTTGGGGTGCCTCCAGGACCAGGGTTGGGAACCACTGGTCTAATGAAATGAAGGGTAAGCACATTCACTAGCCCGCTGACGTCATCGAGGGAGGATCCGCGCTGGCGATCTTGAACGGGAGGATGCGCTCGCGCTTTGAGCATCGCTGAGAACGACCGAGTCGCATCCACTCAGTCAGGTCTAAATAAAAGAAAACGTGCTTAAATCAAAGGAAATCCCAGCTTTGCACGGAACATGGCATCAAAATGTCCCAAATGTGACAAAACTGTTTATTTTGGTAAGTTGTTCATTTTTCTTCTATTTTGCAAAGCCACGGATAAAACAATGCACGCGCTGGCTGAAACGATTGCACCGTAGATGTCGTGTAGTGTCTGAATGTACTTTCATTATTTTCATTCTCGCGTGCGTTGTAAACAACGTCTGCAAACCACACAGCGTGGGCTCGATGGTGATTACCTGGCTTATCACGAGTGCACGTTATTCTTAGTAAATGAATTCGTTTTCTTATTAAGATCCACATGATTTCTGCATTAGACGGCGCAGCTAATCTGCTGAGTATTTTATCTGCATGGTATTTGAGATACCATAAATATTGAGCTCGTGCAGTGAAATAAGATCCATGAATCACCAATGTGTATGTAGACAGAGTTTTCTGATTTGATTATGGATGAAGCATGAAATGCAGAATCAGGATGAATGAAAGTATATATGACATGACACTATTAAAGCTGATAATCCCATTGCACTAGAATTTATTCTTTGGTTAAAACGGGTGACTGTAAAACATGCAAAAATAATAATTAGGTGGGTGGTGGATTTTCAATATCAGATAATATCAATATTTTTTTCTTAAATGTTAACAGCCATGAGTGAAACAAGTATTTAATTAGTGTCGACCAATACACCATCACAAATTGAAATGTAACCACTGACTAGATTGAATAGCCAGCAGTCAATCTGATTTGACCCATTTTATGGGTCCGGTAAACATTCTCTACCCTCTCCTGTCCAGTCTATACCTTATTTATGGGCCTTTACTTTCCCTTCATTCAAAAAGCCTCCTGTGAATGGGGTGTGTAACACATTTTGATTAATTGGAAAATGTTAAACTGCTCCTTTTTTCATGTTCTTTATCTTCTCTGGTTAAATGTAACTAGGCCTACATTATTTTAAAGTGCAGGTGTCATTTGGCATTTGTCCCCACAGCGTAATTACTCATTATATCAATTTATTATTTATCATCAACAGCTGTCAGCTAAAATTATTACATAAAATTAATACAAGGCTATACTTTGTCTTTTTAAGGTAGAAAATCAACATGAATGATTGGCAGATTAAAAATTTGTCTGTGCTTAATATCATATGCTGAGCTGACTCCCTCCCACTGAGCGCTATAATAATTAAAATGTGAGATCCACTTTGTCTCTGGCTGCTACTCGCTCTCTTGAGACTTTAACAGCTGTGACCTGAGAAAGCATTCCTATTCACTTGAATGCCACAAACAACCTTTAAGTATGCAACCTGGCACACGGTTATCTTTAAATGGCTTTAGAAACATGCTTTTTGCCCACATAATTGTGCCATCTAATAGCAGTTTGCCTTTCTCTTTCCAGTCAGTGGTTAAAGGGAACAGTTCACCCAAAAATGACAAAAAAAAAAAAAATGTACTCACCCTCAGGCCATCCAAGATGTAGATAAGTTTGTACGTATCTTCATTGGAACAGATTTGGAGAAATTTAGCAACAACACTTGCTTACCAATGGGTCCTCTGCAGTGAATGGGTGCCGTCAGAATGAGAGTCCAAACAGCTGATAAAAACATCACAGTAATCCACACGACTCCAGCCCATCAGTTAACGTCTTGTGAAGAAGAATGCTGTGTTTTACACAATTTACAAATTTATCATTATGGTGTTTTTAACTTCAAACCATTGCTTCTGGCATAAATATGAGTCCTCTATCAATAATATTGCTTTCTCTGTAAAAATGTGATCTTGTCTGAATCAGGAGATAAATATGCACAGATCAAGCACCGTTTACAAGTGAAAACAGTCCAAAACATTAAACACCAGAGAGGGCAACAAAGGATGGACTTTTCACTGGAGGAAGTGTTATTATGGGTTATAGACTGGTATTTTGGCCAGAAGCAATTGTTTAAAGTTCAGAACATCTTAATGATGGATTTGTTTCTTCCAAACTTGAATTGACGGACTGGTGAAGAAACAAACTCATCTACATCTTGGATGGAGTAAATTTTCAGAATTTAATATTTTCATTTTTGGGTGAACTATTCCTTTAAAAACCTTTTTTGATCCATAAGTGTATTATTTAAAAGATTACTTAGTAGTATTTCCAAAACGTTTTTTCTCTTTTGATTCTGAAGTGCTTGCAACCTCTGTAACTTTCTGTCAGACTGCAATTTGCCATGCATATATCCTCACTATGGAAACAGCTCATTTGATACTCCGGTTAAGAGAGCATCATGAAAGCATTAAGCAGAACTACAAGTCCAGAGACAATAACTAATTACTGTCTGTCCAACTCCCGCGCATTTGTCTGCACCACAAAAAACATTCAGTTTTTAATCTTGTTAATGCCCTGCTGTGTGGGTATGTCTGTTTGTGAGCAGACAGATGGAGAAGAAAATAGATCAGATTGAAGACAAAAGGTGATAATGCATGCACTTAGCATAAAATAGACATCATAAAAGCAAAAATGCATTTTTGTATAAATAATATTATTAAAATAATCTAAAAATAATAATATTTTAATAAATAAATATATTTCCATTTTAGCTAGTTGCCTGGAAACAAAACTACATGGCAATGGAAAGTTGTCAAACTGATACATCACAGAAACTAGAACTGGCTAATAGGTTACATTTGATTTTAATTTCTCTTAAATTCACTAAGAAGACTCTTATGCTCACCAAGGCTGTGTTTATTTGATCAAACATACAGTAAAAACCATAATATTGTGAAATATTATTACAAATTAAAATAACTGTTTTCTATTTTAATTTAACTTGTATTTGTGATGCCAAAGATGAATTTTCAGCATCATTATTCCAGTCTTCAGTGTCATACGATCCTTCAGAAATTATTCTAATATACTGAATTTCTCAAGAAACATTTCTTGTATATATGTTAAAAAATCAGTTGTGCTGCTTACTATTTTTGTGGAAGCCGTGATATATTTTTTTCTGGATTCTTTGATGAATAGAAATTTCAAAAGAGCAGCATTTATTTAAAATAGAAATCTTTTATAACATATAGTGGGTATAACATAATTATTACATAAAAACATGCATAACACTTGTGTGTTACTGTGATGTAAAGATGGATGGATGGATGGATGGATAGATAGATAGATAGAAATTGACATATGACAAATAATAAAATGTAAAGAATGTAATAAAAGAAACCCGTTTTATCAGTTTATTCAAAGGCATGCCTTCTTTATTAGCCGTTTTATTGCCTTATATGCATCATGTGCTTGCAGAACGAAGAAAATGGATTTGTTACCCTGAGGCAATCCTGCAGTAGAACACACAAAAATAAACAAAAACATCCTTGAATGGATTTCTAAAAGTTTGACCTAAAATGTTATTGTGCTGTTGTTCAGTCTTGACTCACAGTGACGTGACGCTGCTCTGTGGAGAACGGCTCATGAGGGTGTTCTGTGCTCCCTGAGGCACATGCCTGGAATATTCCAGCCTCGATATGATGCATCCAGATTTGATAAGAACCTTTCACTCTATGATAGTGTTTCGCAGTCGTCCACATCTCCCTGACATCCTCAATGAGACAGTAAACAGACGGACATTAGGCTTCACATTATCTCTCAGTGGACTTAGTTAGACACATTAAGAGGTGCATTGACAAAAGACTAAATGGATAAACACATTTAGGTGGACCAGGATAGTTTTTTTTTTTTCTGACGAGACACAGTCAGACGAGACTCAAATTACCATTTCATAAAATCTCTGATCTTTGCCAGGCATCATTACAGTAAGAGTCTCTACGGAGTAATTTCAGCTCAATCGTTATAATGAAGATAGTGGCTTCAGGGGAGAGTTTTAACACTTTTATTCAAAGAGCCCCTTAAACCATAATCTTAATGTACATCCTCAGATGAATGAAGATCTGTAAAGGGAATAAATCTCTTTGTGTCTTATAGCGGAGAAAGTGACATCTCTGGGAAAAGACTGGCACAAATTCTGTCTCAAGTGTGAACGCTGTAGCAAGACCCTAAATCCAGGAGGACATGCAGAGGTGAGAGGAAGACAGCTAAAAAACGGAGAAAAAGAAAGCATTGAAGATAAAGATCCCATTAAATGCACCTTTCTTTCATGTATATTTTCTACTGAACTGGAAGCTGCTGCATGTCACTGAAATGTGCATTTATCTAGCAAATATTACATCTAATGTGGTCACAATGTTGATTTATAGTTTGCAAATTCATGTAATTTAGCAATATTACATAAGTAAGAGTGTTGTTCCAAATATCAGCACAACTGGAGCCATGGCAGGTATTACAGCCACGAGCACAACTGTCAGTGTGATATTTTTATTCAACAGTTCAATAAACAAGAAGTTAATATTGCGTAACTTTCATTTTAGATACAGTTTTCTATGGTGGTCGGGAGAGCTCAAATGAAAAAAAACAGTAAATTAAGAAAATATCTTCATCAGTTGACAACACATGTGCCTAAAAGACTCACAACACAACCAAATACAGAAACGCACTGCAAAGACCCACAACACAACCAAATACAGAAACGCGCTGCAAAGACCCACAAAAAAACAAATACAGAAATGCGTTGCAAAGACCCACAACACAACCAAATACAGAAATGCACTGCAAAGACCCACAACACAACCAAATACAGAAATGTGCTGCAAATACAGAAGCGTGCTGTAAAGTCCCACAACACAACCAAATACAGAAACGTGCTGCAAATACCCACAACACAACCACCTAGAGAAACGTGCTGCAAATTAGAGCTGCTCGATTATGGCAAAAATCATAATCACGATTATTTTGGCCAATATTGTAATCACGATTATTTAACACGATTATGAGGGGGCCATATGACCAAAACTTTATATGAGTGATTTATTTAAAGATAGTGATACATATCAAATATATATTTCCTGTAAATAAGGTTGCTATGACATCTACATTGTAGAGATCAGCGGAATTTAAAAAAAAAAAAAGTCCTAAAAATGATTGAAAATAATTCAACTCTCAGTAATAAAAAAGCAAAAGACAAATACAATAGAATAAAAAGATACAAATGAAACAAACTGTGCTTTAATGTTTTTTTATGCAAGTCTCAAGCAGTTTACTGCCTACTACAGAAATGAATAATCAAATGTAAAATAAAACAGTATAGTCTTCACTATAAGAATTAAACTTTTTTGTTTCTTATTAAAGCTACAAAAGTCCTTCACTCAAGAGCAGTGTGTGATTTTGAATTTGTCTTTTTTTGTTTGATTAATATTAAGCACACAGTCGCAGCAGGAAAATAGCCCGATGTCACTTTGAGAGCCGCACGGATCCAATTTACCGTAACACGCGTATTTTCATTCTCAACTCTTTACGTTCATGTATTACATGACCGACGAAGGTATACATGAATAATCACTAAGCACCTCATTTTGACACATTTTTGCGTGTATTTGACCGTTTAGGCGCGCACCTTGAGCTAAAAGATGACTTTACATGTCCGTGTTCTGTTCCGTCTCTGAGCGCATATATCTTCCTGAGGGGCAGCGCAAGTTCTCTTTCACGCTTTTAAAAACATTAATAAATATACTCATATAAATCAAGCACAACACAACCAAATACAGAAACACGCTACAAATACAGAAACACGCTGCAAATACAGAAATGTGCTGCAAAGTCCCACAACACAACCAAATACAGAAATGTGCTGCAAATACAGAAACATGCTGCAAAGACCCACAACACAACCAAATACAAAAATGCGCTGCAAAGACCCACAACAAAACCAAATACAGAAAAATGCTGCAAATAGAGAAACGCGCTGCAAAGACCCACAACACAACCAAATACAGAAACGTTCTGCAAATACAGAAACGCGCTGCAAATATAGAAACGCGCTGCAAATATAGAAACGTGCTGCAAAGACCCACAACACAACCAAATACAGAAACGTGCTGCAAATACAGAAACGCACTGCAAATACAGAAACGTGCTGCAAAGACCCACAACATAACCATATACAGAAACGTGCTGCAAATACAGAAACGCGCTGCAAATATAGAAACGCGCTGCAAATATAGAAACGTGCTGCAAAGACCCACAACACAACCAAATACAGAAACGTGCTGCAAATACAGAAATGCACTGCAAATACAGAAACGTGCTGCAAAGACCCACAACATAACCATATACAGAAACGTGCTGCAAAGACCCACAACACAACCAAATAAACGTGCTACAAATACAGAAATGCGTTGCAAAGACACAACACAACCAAATAGAGAAACGTGCTGCAAAGACCTACAACACAACCAACTAGAGAAACATGCTGCAAATACAGAAACGTGCTGCAAAGACCCACAACAAAACCAAATACAGAAACACGCTGCAAAGACCCACAACACAACCAAATACAGAAACGCGCTACAAATTCACACAACACAACCAAATACAACAACGTGCTGTAAATACCCACAACACAACCAAATACAGAAATGCACTACAAATACAGAAACGTGCTGCAAATACAGAAACGTGCTGCAAATAC